AGTTGTTAGTCAAGTTAAACAACTCTTTTCATAACTGTTAACAGTACACCACATGACTATAATATGCTATACCAATACCGGCTGAACTGGTATAGTACGTTGACCCTCCCATGTGTGTTATTAACCGTGAACTTTCTATTTCTGATTGATTCTTAGGTATTTATACATAACTGATTTGATCATCGCTAACAGCCGATGGTGATCACATCGTAGTAATTTTAAAGCCGTGTTTCTGACGAGTTAATAGAGTTGTATGGAGGCTTGTACACCCTCGTTGAAGACAGTATAGACATAATAATAAGGTCATATTATGATATAATGTGAAATCCTAATATAAACTGTATCCGATCGCCATTGTAGAAACGAATTGAACTATATTATTATAGAATAGATTATGCCACGCTATGGAGTAGGCTCGGGAGTAGGTATCTGAAATACTGAACTTGAGATCTGTCCGCCCGGTACAGCGTGACGCCATTAGCTCCAGACATTTACTTCAACCTTCATGAAGGTTCAATCGAACTGCTTTAAACATTGGGTGGGTAAAATAATAGAGTATACTTCCTAGTCTTTCTGGTATAATTGTATTCAACATAGGAATGTAATTTAATTATATATTTCTAATTAGTTAAACCTGTTTCACAGTCATTTGAATGGTGAGTGGGTGGATCAAACTATTTGAACTGCAAAGTTTTAATTTAATATTTTTATTTTGGGATATTTTTTAGTGCTCATAATATTACTAATTCAAAATGAAGTGAAGAATATATAGTTTTATTCATTTTAATACAATTTGATAAGAGTTTTTGTTCTATATTGTAAACATTTTCCTATTATATTTATTTAAWTTTTTCATTTATTTATAAGAATTTGTGGATATTAAATAATTATAAATAATTTAATTATTTCAATATATGTTTAGGTCGAGGTTCAATTTTTATAGCTAAAATACCTATTATATTGAAAATTAAAACACAGAATCTCATAAATATTTCTTACTTTAATCAAAAATCTAAACTCAATAGTTATTTTTTACAGACATTTTTAATTMAAATTTAGACGAAATTACATATTAAAACCAATAGAATAGTTATTTCGATGTATTTAATTTAAAAATATTATTCATGTGTATTTTTGGGTGGAATTTTGGAACTGTTAGTGTATATTATTATATTTTATACATTTAATAATATTTTTAAATGCAATTTTTTTTTGAAAAAATGAATTTAATCTACTGTAGTAGTAATGCTTATAGTAAAATTAATTACTTTATCACAACAATATACTAAAATATACTTTGAAATATAATAGGTCTTCACTCAGAATAGTTTTCATATGGTATACAATGTTTAATGTTATGCCATTAAATACAAATTTAGCAGATCCTATAGTGACTCACTTACCGCTTTTTTATTTTAAATCTACGTATATATATTTTTTTATCAGGTACCTATGTAATGTTATTTTAAAACTCTAATATAGCTCGATGTTTAAATGTAAACAATTAAGTAATACAGATCTATGTTATTGTATTGACATGTGGATATTTGGTTCTTTTTTGTACCAACTAAGTTTTTATAACCTGCAGKCAGTTATACAGAATCAAATATTTTCGTGACCTTGTAAATTGGTAGCTTTATTGAATTAATGTTAAGTTTTAATTTGAACGTTCATTATATTTATGTTTTTTTTTAAGTAGTTATTAATTTCTCGTTGAATTTCCTCGAGGAAATGTGAAGGCTATCTCTTTGGTATCAATAGTCAATTAATTTTTGTTAATATTTACAATAATGAACTGCTGTTTTATTTATTCTATTAAAGTATTAACTGATAAAAAAGAAAGATATTGAAAGGAAATTTTTAATTTTTTAAGATATTTCTTGAAAACATCTGATCATGACTAAACATAAATATTTACACTTAAATAACAGCCCAACTAAATATTGATGTTCTTTATTAATTTATTTCTGATAGTTGCGTTTTAATTGGATAAGCTATATTTATTTTGTTTACATTAGTAATACGTATTACATTTTGTCCATTAGTGTWAACGATTTAATATTGTATTAATTATATTAGGTAGTAGTTAATGTAGTTTCAGCAAATTGTGATAATCAAAACTGGAARTAATATTTTTGATTTTATTTTTAATGATCCCAAATAACATAATTCTTGGATTTTAATTGTCACGACAAAAAATTCATTGAAGTATCCATGTAATTTTATATTTTATAAGGAAAGCAAGGAAACTGTTTTTTATATTTTAATGACATATCTATATAGTTTGTTTGGTGTATATTTTAACACGTTTTTAAATAGTTTATGTGGTTTTCAATGACTTCGAAATTTTGATTATTAGTTATTTCACTGAATTAAATGTTGTTTACGTAATTTTGTCTTGAAAAAGTTTAAATCAATTCCGTGGTCTTTTAAACCCTATTTGTTATCTGTTATTCATATACGTTATAGTTTTTATGTGTTATACATAAAATTCAATAATTAGTWAAGGCAAACTTAAAAATTATACATTTAATATATATGTTTTAGCATAGACCTTATATTTAATTATAATGTCAATGTATATAATTATTATTTATAAATGAAAAGTTTTAGATAATTTTGTTTAAAACTAACTTTATTCTATATTAAAAAATAAATATACATCATATAGCCTATTCACTTAAATACTAATACTGAAATCAAAAAAAAAAATTATTAACAAATAATCTATTTAAAAACAACGTATTGTGTACTATCATATGGTAGTAATATTTATTAGGTAAATCACGTTCGCAGATTATTATGAATGATACTAAAGATTATTGGTAATATTATATTTAAGACACGTTCAATGGATATTTTATAATATAATATGATTATAGATAAAAATTCGTACCTAATACAGTTTTTGATTTTGTTTAAATTTCTGTTGTTATTTGATTGAGAAGTATATTAATTAATTATAATATAATTATTGTATATCATGCAATAAACTTGTATATTTCAACCATTTGTATCATATTATTTTTATATTGTTTATTTTGTTATACGTTMTGTGTTCTAATGATTGCTATTCCAATTAGTTTCCAAGAAATAGAGGTTATTAGTTAGCACCTGCATACTTAAAAGTTGTGATGTTTGATCAAATTATCAGTTAGGCCACTAATAATTTAAGTTAGTTACCGAAACACTAAGGAATTATTTGATGTACCTAATAATATATTTTAAGCAAACTGGTTTTAAATTTATATTTTAAATTATAAAAAAATACTTATATCTAATGTCTAACTAAACAAATTAGACATTTATTTCAGAAGCTTACTTATATTCTAACTTAGCTTTTGTATTAAATTAACTTAATTTCAACTAGTTATAAAAAATAACTAATTTGACCAGCTTTGAGTACAGCAAAGTTAATTATCCAGTTATTTTGTCTGTTTTTATTTGTGTTAATAACGTTTTCTTTGATAACTTATAAAGTGATATTATTCACTGAAGTAATAAAACAATAAATAAGTTGAATTGCCAATATGAGTGGAGTTAAAATTACGTTTTAATTTGCTATCCACGTAATTTCTGTAATGATTTTTGGATTAATTATTAAACTTACATATTTTGTATAATAGTTGCGAACTGTTTTACGAATTAAAATGGACAATAGTAAATTATTAAGTAAATACATATCTAGTTTATTATTTACTATTGTAAGTTATAAATAKGACTACCTAAAATGATTAAATAAGTACGACATTTCGAAATTATAATGGCATTAGTGTTTTAATATCTAGACCATATTTGCGTATGCGAGGCATATTTATACCAGTGATTAGGAACCTTTTGTGAACCATGTGACCCCCATAAAAATGTTTTAAATGTAGATATATCTATATAAATGAAAATTGTAATACTAGTTAATTTCATTAATTCAGAAAATAGATACATAAGTGTATAAATTAAGTATACCTATTAAATATATATATAATATTCTTCACATAATTTGAAATCATAACAATKTTTAAAAAAAATGTAATTTCAAACGAGTACTATCTTGTAATAAGTGTTTAAGGTATCGTTTAGCTGAGTGATCTGAAAATTGTTAGTCCACTTCTTTGTTCACCTAAATTTAAGATAATTATTACTTGTTAACTAATTAATCAAAATTTTATTTTCATAAATGGAAATTTTCGGAAAATATTCTGCTATGAAATATGAAGTTAAAAATGTAGGTATATTATGTTATCATTATAAGCATTTTTTTTCTTCATAAATTATTTTTTGTAGTATCTATGKCTTTAAATTATATATAACCAAATGAACCTTAATAATAACTTTCAACAATATTAGTATTCTGTTGTAAAATGTACTTGCTGTTAAAGGAATCAACAGTAACGTATACGAAGTACATGATGTAGATTGATATTATTTGATTGTAAAAAATATTTACATTTTAAATTTTCGCACAATCCATATTATACCTTGTGGTATACAACGTGTCATACAYTTTGTGTAGGTACTACCATTACCAGAAAGCCATAACCTGTTTTTAAAAATATAACAGAATAAATGTTTCTCAGAAATTCATTTTTAAAACTTTAACAAAATAAAATATATGAAGTTATTCTCTTTTTCATTWAATTCTTGAATTAAATAAAAATTAATGTACTAACATATTTTAACGTCGGTACCTTCTATAAATTTAATTAACAATTTATTACTTACGACAAGTCGTATTATATTTTATATTTAAGTAAATTATAAGGTTTGGAAGTATTATATTCGATTTTTGTTCACTGACCTCATTAGTACCTAGTTTATACTTTAGCAACTAGTATTTATCACTAGCAAATAAACGTTCAGTGAACTTAGTTCTGTATTAAACGTTAGAYTAGAGACAAAAAATCAGCAAGTTATGATTTATATTTTATAAAATCTTAATAAAGTTTTTTTTGATTTAAATTTGTCATCATTTAATAATTTTATTTGTATTGTTTAATTTTTAGGAATATGACAGTATTTTGGCTGCACGGCGAAGAACTAATGTTTGGTGGTAACGCAGTACATCCTGTACAACAAAGAATACCACAGATGAAAATGATGAAAGTCCACATACCGTTCACATTTAAATTACATGAAACATCTAATTCTTCKTACTCGGGTAAATATTGTTTATTATACATTAAGTAATTAGAAGTTTTAAAACGTTTGATTACCATCCAATTATACATTTTTTTGTTTTTTTCATAAACAATTAGAWATATACGGTACCTATTTAAAAATCGATTTTTACTGCAAATATTTATACCAACAGCAATTTAATGAGTGGAATGCAATTAGTCAAGTCCGATACTATCATTAAATATCAATTTATTGATAAACTAATAATTAGTTTTAATTATTAAAAGTTACATTAATTACGTAAGTTACACATACTGTATTAAAATCGTATATAACATAGGTATTACATTTTATCATTAATTTGACTTTGAATTTATTCGAATCAAAGGATACTAAAATACTATTATGTGCAGCTTTTAAAAATGTCCATCAGCTAATTTTATATTGTTTATAATAGTAAATAATTTTTGCTGTAGAAATATTTAACTTGAAAAATATCAAGATATCTTATCAAGATAAGTTTTGTAATTATAATTTTTAGAAAAGACATAGTCTAGTCAAGTTTTTAATACAATTTTTTTAAGTATCAACTTCATTTGAAGTATATTTATTCAAAACTTTTTTCAAATTATTCTTTCGGGGAATTTTCTAACAAAGTTAAATCTTAAATTATTTACTAACCATATCATTTTCKTCTTTTGTTACATCCAGTTTATAATATTAGACTTCAAAAAATGAAAGATTTATAACGAAAACAACCCTAAGCATATTTTTTCCCCGTCTATATATATTTTGTATATTATTAGAAAGCTAAACGCTTTAGTAAATAATTCATAAATTAACTAAATTTAAATTTAGAAGACGTGTTGTACACGCATGAATTGTCTCCGTTAACTAACATTAACACATACAATTTTACGTTTGGAAGAATCCATTATAACCTGTTTTTTTTATTAGTGTACTACCTAGATTCTTTTTATCTTAAATGTACTATGTTACGTGTTAATTCATCTAACAACCGGCATATCTCTTCTCTACCACGGATAACAGCAAATTTGTGTTCAGTAGTTTTAATCCTGTGTTCAAGCTTAAATGTAAAAACATTATTTGTGTTCTTTCGTTGGTTTTTAATATCTTTAATTTTTGAGTGAGTTTTAAAATTTTTAAAATTTAATTAATTTACACGCTTATAACTCATTTAAATATTAAAATATTCTTAGAACAATGAAAAAACACGTAAAATTTTTTTGCTTTTAAGTTTRATAATAGATCGATTTACTCGTATGTTTAAGTTAACTGACCCTACCTTTTGGTATGTATTCATAGTGTATTTCTTTATGCATTAGCAAGACAGCTAGAGACAACAATACGTATGAGTATTTTGATTAAAAAAAAGTCTATGTCATTACGAAAATATTACTTATTCAAAAGTATTTGTCGACCCTCATGATGTAAATGCAGAATTATAAAAAAATATATTTTCTGTAAGTAAGTGCTTCCTTGAATTATCATATTCCATAATATTGAGGTAGGGACTCTATGTTTGATTTATACGTTTTTATAATACTAGAGTAAAATATGCATTACATAATTTTAATTAGGTAAATATTGTTTATTAGTTAGAAACCAACGAGCATTATAACTTATAAGTAGTCATACATGATGTAGAGCTTTTATTGAGCTAATTGATAATAATTTTAATTTTATTGTTTTTAAAATAAATTAAATTGATATATTATTTACTACCTAGTTTATTCGCCGCTGTTGCGTGTATAATGTTTGTGGTAAAGTTCGACTTTTCTTCATACAATAATCATCGTTACAATTTTTTTAATGATTAAGTTATTCTAATACTGGGTTACACAAATATTTTGTTTACGTTTCACTGAAATTGAATGAATCAATGGTCGATTTTACGTTGTATTCAAGTTACGRGCAAATACTCAAAGATTCGTTTAACTTGATGCAATACAATATTTGTGCAATCCAGCATAAATGCTTTAATTTCCACTTATTTATCGTGTTATAATAATAATTTAATATGATTTTGATGTTTGAATATTTTGAACCACTTTGCCAAATGTGGATGATTTGTTTGATTGTTAAGCCTACTGCAGCATTTAGTGGTTCAAAATATGTTTTTTTTTGTGAATATTTATTTATTTTTATTTACTAATTATATTACATAAACTGTAAAGTTTTTGATGTTGATATTATTTCTATATTATGATAATTCGGTGTACGCAAATAAGTTATAATATTAAATTATTGTAGTGGAGGAATTTAATTTTAAATAAAAGTACTTGTGGTTTTTATTCCATACTACTGAGTATCAAAGGATTTAAACTAGGTAAACTATTTTTTTGCGATAAATAGGTATTGCAATGTTATTTGAAACAGTTACAGTACCTATACTTCGTATACTTTAAAAGTATTCTTGAAACTTATTCTTTTTCAAAATGTTTGTTTTGTTTTGAGTGCTAATATTAATAATTATTTTTATCATTGCCAATTTGATTTTCTTCCATAAAATTCTATATACCCATCAAATATCTCTTGAATGCCAACTCGTGAAGGTACTGAAATAGTATTACTTGAATAATATAGGACGCCAAAAATCATGCTATTATTCAATGCTATTTTTATAAATTATTATTCTACTCATTGGATAGTGATATGAATTATTACCACAGAGTACAAACGACTAAAACGAGTATATTAACTTAAAAATTCGAGTTTGTTTACGTAAGTAAAACTTAGCGAGTTATTGGATTGAGGCGTTTTTAGTATGATTATCTAACTTTTTTATTCCAAAATGATAATAATTTATTAGAGAATTTTTAGGACTGTACTTATCATTAATTTATTACTATTCAATTTRACKACAATCACGAATATTAATTTATATATTTTTGAATAGGTACTCTCGTTTTTGCACTAACAGCACATGAAATCAAACAAATAATTTTCTGAATATACCCACTACTCTGTTATATAGTTATCAGGTTTGCATAAGAGAACATTTCAAATACGATTATTCTTAAGTCGTAACCAAATTAGATTCAGTTAACAGCTGGTAAAATCTCCTGTGTGATAATTACCAATTTAAAAAATTGTTTTTCCACTATGTTTAAAAATAGTCGGGGCAGCTATTCTGCACATAACCGGACCTTATAAACCGTTTTTTTTAAGTAGGTATACAACGGATGTATGTTTCCTTGATGTTTATTATTAATGCGATCACAAGAACCCAGGATAAAAGTATAATAATATAAAGTAGTGCTTTTAAGTTTTAACTTGCAGTGTTTATTTATTTATATTTTTAAAACTTCATATTAAATTGTTGATTTTTAAATTTTCGTAAGAATTATTGTGTTTTGTTTCAACTGGCAATGATTAAAATAAAAAATAAAAAGATATTAAATGCAATACATATTTTAATGATTTTAATGTAGGTAATATTATTATGATATACGTAATAATGCTATCCTATTGGTATACATGTAGCCAATAAAGCTATATGTATTTTTTGCTAAGAAACATGTAATTATTTACCTTCGAATCATATTATGAAGTACTGTTTAAATTATTTATTATTCGGCATAAAAAGCGTAGGAAGGCTCTGGTGGATAGTACATAATATTAGGGTTGTACATTGTCATTGAGTAAAYCACGGTTATGGAAGTATTAAGTTAGAATTCAATGATAAATCGTTGCGTACCTGTAAGAAAAACACACACATATATATATACAGAATAGGTATCCAATGTTATCAACATTTTTACTTCAAACACTCATAAAAAATTAATGCGACTTTACATCAGTTTTTTTAGCTCCAAAATATAACGACAGACACGTTAAAGAATTTTTTTCTAACACATCGTAAGATTAATTCAGTAAATTGATTCACTCAGAATTCTAAATTAGATCATTAAATCTACAAAGTTGAAAAATATTGACCAGAGATAAGACGTGTAATTGTATAAAGATACATTTATACAGGAATATTGATGACTTATTATGATATCAGTGATTTAATAATAAATATTTGAAGTTGGGATATGRTAATGTATTTTACGCTAAGGTATTTTTTTGGTTAGTGAATCGCGATTTGTACTTATTGTTTATGTATCGTATAATTATGGTTGGTCAATTTTATTTTACTTTTGACGTTTAAAATTAAACTTGTTTAAATCTTAAGTTTACAATATTTTTGTTGTTTGAATATTATCAATTGATCTTTAAATTGTAACGACGGTATTTTCAAGTAACTATATAATTTTATATAATTTATATGGTTGTGTTCGCTCAATTGTACTCCTCAAAAATTTTACTATTTTTTTATATCTGGCGTATGTGATTTTTTGACTGAGTTATCCTTTAAAAAATAAAATAGTTTATCTATGTTTTGTAAAGTTTACGCAAGTAAATATATTTTCCTAAAAATAAATTGTGACAACTAAACATTAAGGCATAGTATTTTTAAGAATTATTATTATTAATTCAATATATTTCAATTTTATAATTTAGTATTTTGATGAGGACATAAATAATTTATTACTTGTATGTATAATTAACAAAGACTAAACTTGACAAACATTATTTTGTAGAGGGGTAATGACGAACCTCTGTCATACGATAATGGATATATTGAATGGAAAATTATTTATTACATCCATATAGTAAAGCAATTTAGAATAGTTTTTAAAAATTAAGATAAGTAAAATATTTAATTATTGCCTCTCAAAAACTCATCGCGTGTTTGAAAATGCGTTTGGTATCCTGTTGGCTACAGGATAATATTATTTCGAATACATAACAATTCTAATACAATCATGTACCTGCAGCTTCCATTGACAAAATGATTTTAGCTTCTTACTGGCTGCACTATTTTATTTATTTTGGCATGTGACCAAGTTTTTTTATCGAAAAAATCAATTTGATGATGTTCAATCAGTTTTAAAAATGTCATTCTACCAATTAAAAGAAATAGTACCTACCTAATTATCTTTCGATATAATAGATAAATATAAAGAATAT